ACTTGTTCACTGTTGGGTGTGGTGGGCACTTTAATCCCAGCACTGGGAGGCAGGTGGGTCTCTGTGAGTTCAAGGCCAGCCTCGTCTACAAAGGGAGTTCCAGGACAGGCTCCAAAGCTACAGAGAAACCCTGTCTTGAAATAATCCCCCAACAAAAGAAAAACCAAAACAAAACAAACTTGTTCGTATCCTAAGGCACTCTTTTTTTAAAATATTTATTCATTTATTATGCATACAATATCTGCCTACATGTGTGCCTGCAGGCCAGAGAGGGCACCAGATCTCATTACAGATGGTTGTGAGCCACCATATGGTTGCTGGGAATTGAACTCAAGACCTTTGGAAGAGCAGGCAATGCTCTTAACCACTGAGCCATCTCTCCAGCCCCCCTAAGGCACTCTTAATATACATCTTCTTTCTGTTATCCATAAAGCTTAGGCTTCCATGGTAATTTTTACTTAGTCTTACACTTACTGTTGTTTACTGTGCAACAGCTGTCTCCATGGTTGTGGTCCTCACACTGTCCTTTCCAGTGCTGTCCATGTCTATCCCATTGCCTTAGTGTGCTCGTCCCTCCCACAGGCAAACATCTGGGCGGTTTCCAGCTCATACATTGTAAAGTGTAGTTTTCATTTGAGTTATTTGTTTGTAATACAGTGCTCATAGTGGAAATTTGAGATCAGAACCCAGTACCAGCAATGCGTAACCAAACCCGGTGTTTATGAAGTCAAAGCCTTGTCAGGCTTTCCCACTTAGTAAAAGTGAGGCGGAATTTAATAACTGTTTGAAGGTACAGTTCTGTAAACTAGTACTCAGAAATGTTTTTTCAGTGTTTCTTTGTGTGAATCCCACGTGACTGTTCGTAGGCTCTATTGGACATGGATGGCTAGGTACTAGAGACGGGTGTTGTTTTGATAGATTTGTATCAGTCCCCTAAAAGAGATGGAATTTGTATTTACAGTGTTCATTCCCCTGGCTTTTGTTTACCTTTGAATTTCTTTTTTCCACCTCTGTTAGCATTTCAAAATCAATAGAATCAACTTACAAACTTAATAATTCATATATTTTGTTTCTACTTTTCTTTGGAGTGTATATATTTCATTTTCTTTTACCTGAATTATCTTAAATTTACCCTTTTTTGTTTTGTTTTTGACTTTTTTTGAGATGGGATGAGACAAGATCTTGCTTATAGGTGAGACTGACCTGGAACTCACTATGTGATCCAGGCTAGCTTTGAACTCACAATAAATCCTCCTGCCTCATCCCTTTGAGTGTTAAGGTTACAAGTTTATGTTGTCATGTCTACCTCAATTTCCTTTTTTTTTTTTCGGTTTACTATATTGTAGTGTGAATTGGCCATGTCAGTCAGTTCTTTTTTTCTTTATCTGTACATACTCAGTTTTGTCAACAACATCTTTTATTTTTATTTTTTTATTTGTATTAAGGATTGAATCCAGAGTCTTACAAATGCACATGTAGTCTACTGCTGAGCTACCCCCTCCTTGCATCAGACCACACTGCCTCTAAGTGCCTATCCTTTTTAGTAAATATTACATTGTAAAAGAATTGGGTACTGTCTTTGGGAGAACCTAGTCTATTTGGATGTTCACCTTCCTAGAACTGGATTGCGGGGTGTGTGGGGGGGAACCTTGGACTTCCCACAGGGTAGGGAACCCTGACTGCTCTTTGGGCTGGAGAGGGAGGGGGAGGGGGAATGGAAGGAGAGGGAGGGAAGTAGGTGAAAATTTTTAATAACAATAATAATAAAAACTTGAAAAAAAAGAATTGGGAAATATATAAAATCACAAATATCTCATGGTTAATTAAGAAATTAAGCTGAGTGAAAGGCAAATGGAAGAAGGGAATCTTGATGAGGATTAGGAGGACTTATTTTCATACTGTTCACCTTCCATCTATGTATCTCTGCTTTGTTTGTTTTTTTGTTTTGTTTTGTCTTGTTTTTTTCGAGACAGGGTTTCTCTGTAGTTTTGGAGCCTGTCCTGGAACTAGCTCTTGTAGACCAGGCTGGTCTTGAACTCACAGAGATCCGTCTGCCTCAGCCTCCCAAGTGCTGGGATTAAAGGCGTGCACCGCCACTGCCTGGCATATCTCTGTTTTTAAAATTCAGTCCTATATATTCATGACTTTACAGATCAAAATAATTAATTTATGCAAATAAGTAAGACCAGAGCTTGAAATGAATTAGATATCTTTATGCCTGCCCAAGCCATCTTTTCAAATGTGTGTCCATTAGACTCTTGAAATCAAAACTTTTGTCTGCTGGCTTTTAATGATGAGTGGTATATATGAAGGTGTAAGTAGAGACAGAGAGAAATGTGTGTGTGTGTGTGTGTGTCAGTGAATTTCTAGTAGATCTAGTGTTTATCACTGTGTGTCCCAGCAGTGCACCTAGTGTACCTTGTGTGGTCAAGTGTATGAAGCCATAGAGACAGAGATAGGCAGGTATTCAAAATGGAACTTTCACATTCTTGTCCATGATTTCAAAATTCTGCCTAAAGATGTACTCGGAAGGCCTTTGAACTCTTCCCTGTCTTCACATCCCAAACTATGCCATTCTTCCTGATGGTATGTACCCTGTCTTTTACTGCTCTTACCCTCTTCATTCAAACATCTATTACTCAGTCAACATTTTTTTTATGAAAAGTGTAAAACATGGAAAATAATTGTACAATGACAATCCATATCCTCACCATCTAGTGCTCATAATTTGCTTAATCCTGCATTTCAAAGTAAGTTACAGATGCTAATACACTCCATACTTGAGCATGCATGCAAATCATTGATTGTATTATGTTTTTTGTTTGTTATTTTGTTTTTTAAGACAGGGTTTCTCTGTGTAACCTGGAACTTGCTTTGTAAACCTTGGACTTCCCACAGGGTAGGGAACCCTGACTGCTCTTTGGACTGGAGGGGGAGAGGGAGGGGGAGTGGAGGGACACCTGGATGACCTGGAACTTGCTTTGTAAACCAGGCTGGTCAAAATCACAGAGATCAGCCTGCCTCAGCCTCCCGAGTGCTGGGATCAAAGGTATATGCCACCACCACCTAGCAGTTTATGTGTTTTCTTAAAGAAAAATGTATATCTACACAGTGGATTTAGATTATATTTGAGTGAATTGCTTAAATTTAAACTTGATCATTTGAAAATTTTTGGTGGTGAGTTTTGTTGTTATCTTAATTTTTTTTATTATATTTGTGTGTGTGTCACACGTGGATGTCAGAGACAAATTGTGGGAGTCACTCTCTCCTTCCACCATGTGGGGCCTGGGGAAGGAACTCAGGTTCAGAGTTGGTGGCAAGGGCCTTTACTTTCTGAGCCTTCTTGCTGGCCCCACTTTTGTTTTAAGACAGTGTCTTGCTTTAGACTGGCCTGAGAGCTGCCATGCAGACCAGGTGACCTTGAACTCATGATCACTTTTTCAGTTTCCTGTGCACTAGGGTGATGGGCCTATAGCACCACGTCTGACCCAACTGATGCGTTTTTTGATAGGTACCCCCAAAGCCCTTCAAGGTTTAGATATAGGACAGAAAACCTCAGGAAGTTTCCACAAGCCTTTTCAGATGGATCCCAATCCCGCCTTGTTGGTTAGTCATCATCAGGAGTTTTTATTCCTTTTAGACTAGTTATCCCTTTTCTAAGTTCATGGCATTGAACTACAGTATGTGTAAATTGCTTTAATTCAGTATTATCTTTATAATCTCTTTTTTCTTTTTAAGTTGGGAGTGGGCAGAGAGATGGTTCAGTTATTAAGAGCACTTGAGGACCTGGGTTTGGTCCCCAGCATGCACTTGGTGGCTTACAGCTGTCTACAACTCCAGTTTCAGGGCATCTCATGTTCCCTTCGGTCTTTCCAGGCACCAGATATGAACATGGTACATATATACGCATGCAGGCAAAACCACTCATAAAAGATATAAAATAACCCCTGCTGGACTTTTGCTACAATGCTGCTCCATCTTATTCTTTCCCATCATCAGTTAGAAAACTTCCTTATTGGTCTTTAAAAATGTGAACTTAGAGGCTAAGAATGGCGGTACATGCCTGTCATCCCAGCACTTGGGGCTGGGGCACACTGAGTGAAGGCTGACTGAAGCATGGAGAGAGAAATATTTCTTCATTTGAGTACAAGTCCTTTGTCAGATATATATGTGTGTGTGTGTGTGTGTGTGTGTGTGTGTGTGTGTGGTGAATATCTTTCCTACACTCTGGCTTGCTATGTTTATTTTGATGACGTACTTTTTAATTTTGATAAAGTCTAATTTATTAGCTTTTTTCTTTTATGTTTTTGCTTTCTGTGTCCTAAGAAAACTTTGCCCCCCTCTCCCCAGACAGATGTGCCATTTTCCCAATTGGTTTATTTAGTTTATTCTAATAGCTTTACATTTTAGATTTTGTATTTGGGTTTATTATATATAAGCCTTTCCTATTTGGCGTGAGGTAAGAGTCAGGCAAGGTTCATCTTTTTCATTATGGATATCCAGGATTTTCTGTACTTGAAAATTAAAAAAAAAAGATTTACTATTATGTCACCCTCTTAGTGCAGTAGGCAGCGTGTCAGGCTCATGTGCTGTTTTAGCGTGTGTGTTCTCACAGTATGGATGTGGCTAGTGCATGCATGATGTGTGGAGGTCAGTTCTCTTTTTCTACCACAGGGGTTGAGCTCATCTCATAAGGCTTTTGTGGCAAGTGCTTTTTACCCGCAGAACTGTCTCATTGGTTCTGGCGCTGTTTTGCATGTTTTTCACTGGATTGTTCTGACAACACTATAGGCACGTGTAGTGGTTTCGGGATAGACATCTGCTTGACTTCTTGACCAGCAAGGGTGGAGATAGGAGTTCCTACTTCTGATCCCAGCATCCCGTAACCTATGTTTGGTTCTGTTCTGAATGTTCCCAAGTCCTGACTCATTGAGTCATCGACTTTTCTCTTATTGGCAGTGAGTTTTAGTGACTGGGTTTGTTGTTCTATTTGGACCTAGGATGGCCAGTGTTCCAGTAAAGGACCGAGTGAAGGTGTCTCAGAACTGGAGACTGGGCCGCTGCCGAGAGAGGATTCTGCTGAAGTGGAGATGTAGGCAAGTAGCTTCTGGATTTTTTTAAAAAAATTTATTTGTTTTTATTTCATTGTATAAATTTTTTGCTAGTTTGTTTTTTGTTTTTTGAGATCAGGTTTCTCTGTAACCCTTGCTCACTCTGTAGACTAGACTGGCCTTGAACTCTGAGATTCACCTTCTTCTGCCTCTCAAGCACTGACATTAAAGGCTATGTCACTCCCCACCCCCGCACGCTTTTTCACTTTTTGTCTTCATTTTTGTTTTGTTTTGAGATGTGTCTCAGTGTGTAGCTCTGACTGTCTTGAATTTACTATGTAGGCTGGGCTATCTTAAACTCACAGAGATCTGCCTGCTTCTACCTTCCAAGTTCTTGGATTAAAAGCATTGAATTATACTGTCTGCTTGTATGTCAGTGCACCATGTGTATGCCTGATGCTTGAGGAAGTTCCCAAAGGGCTTCAGATCCCTGGGAACTGGAATTACTGACGATTGTGGCTACCATATGGATGCTGGGACTCGAACCTGGATCCTTTGAAGGAGCAGTAAATACTATTAACCTCTAAGCCATCTTTTAGCCTCCTTGATTCTTTTCAGGCTTCCCAAGACAGAAGAACATAATGGAAACTATAAGACTAGATTGCAGGAGCTATCTCTACTAGGGTGACTACTAGTGATTCTTCAGACAGCATGAAGAACCCAGCAGAAGGACGACTTGCTAACAGTTCAAAGAAAGATTTTAAGAATGTACTCTGGGTGTTGGAGGGTACAAGGTAGGAGGATCTCGATTTCAAAGCTTGTCTGAGTCAAAGAGCCAGCCTGAGTAACTTAGGGAGATCCTATCTCAATTTTTTCCCCTTTTTTTCTTTCTTTCTTTCTTTCTCTCTCTCTCCCTCCCTCCTTTCTTCCCTTCCTCTCTTCCTTCTTCCTTCCCTTCCTCCCTCCTTCCCTTTCTTCCTTCATTTCTTCTCTTGTTTCTCCCACCCCCACACACAGAGTTTCTCTGTGTAGCCCCAGCTGTTCTTGGCTGGCCTTGAACTCAGAGATCTGCCTGCCTCCTGAGTGCTGGAATTACAAGCTATGCTTGCCCAGTTACAGTTGTTTTGTTTGTTTTGTTTTGTTTTAGTTTTTGTTTTTTGAGGCTGGGTTTCTCTGTGTAACAGTCCTAGCTGTCCTGGAACTTACTTTATAGACCAGGCTGTCCTAGAACTCACAGAGATCTGCTTGCCTCTGCCTCCCGAGTGCTAGGATTAAAGGCATGCACCTCTACTGCCTGGCACAGTTGTGATTTTTAAATGAGGGAGTTAACTCTCCTCTTGGATTCTGTTAAACTCTTCTTCATCATTTTTTTGGGGGGTGGGGGGCTGGTGGTCATGATGCTGGGTTCAAAACTAGGGCCTAGCCCATGTTTAGCAGGTGCTTCACAACTGAGCTACACCTCTAGATCTATTTATGGAAGATGCTCAGAAGGAAACCCTGGCAACCTGAGATCTACACAGAGAGAATCGACTCTCGAAATTTAGCTTCTGAGTTCCACATACATGCTGTGCATACATGTGTATGCTGTTGTACACATACAAAGTAAAGAAAATAATGTAATTTTTTAAAAGGCAAAATGGAAAATTAAAAATATGTGAAGTAGGACTTAGGAAAAGTGCCAGTGTGTATGTGTGGTGTCTGCTCACATGTGTGGGTATGCAGAACAGTGCTTGGAGGCCAAGAGAGGGCTTCGGGTGACCTGCTCTGTCACTCCCCATCATATTCCCTTGCCACAGGGCTCTGAATCTGGAACAAGGCTGGTAGCCATGAGGTCTCAGTGGTCCTCTTGTCTCCTCACCCCAAAGCGCTGTGGTTACAGGCACTTGTATAGTCAGCGCTTTACACAGGTGCAGGGAGTTTGAAATCAGTCCTGTGCTTTCATAGTGAACACTTTCCTCCCTGAGCTAGCCTCAGCCTGTGCCACCAGTCCTCGTGCTTGTACAGTGAGCACTTCCCTCCCTGGGCTAGCCTCAGCCTGTGCCACCAGTCCTCATGCTTGTACAGTGAGCACTTCCCTCCCTGGGCTAGCCTCAGCCTGTGCCACCAGTCCTCATGCTTGTACAGTGAGCACTTCCCTCCCTGGGCTAGCCTCAGCCCGTGCCATACAATTTTGATGATTATTATAGCACACTTATGCCTCATCAATATCAAAACCCTTCATAATTATTATTTGGCACCTTGTCCAAAAAGTGCTTCTTGTTGGTTAATCTCAGTGGATTTGGAGCTTTGTGACTTCATTCTGACTGATCCGTTCCTGTGCTGAACACTGATAGGTGCACTTCTGCCTTTGGTGAGTGCCTTAGTGACTCTTCTTTCGCTGTGAAGAGACACCATGACTAAGGCAATTCTTGTAAAAGGGAGTATTTAATTGGGGGCTGGCTTACACTTTTAGAGGGTTAGTACATGATCATCATGGTAGGAAGCAGATAGGTATGGCACTGGATCAGTAGCTGAGAGCTTTACATGCTGATCCATAGGCAGTAGGAGAGAGAGAGGGAGAGAGAGACAGAGAGAGAATGAGAGGGACAGAGCTGGACTTTTGAAACCTCAAAGCTCATTCTCAGTGACACATTTCTTCCAGCAAGATCACACCTACTCCAACAAGGCCACACCTCCTAGTCTTTCTAATCCTTTTCAAACAGTTGCACTCCCTGGTGACTAAACATTCTAATGTATGAGCCTATGGGGGACCATTGTTATTTAGACCACCACAATGACCCTTGGTTTACTCGTGCTGTTTCTACTGGTTTGACTGATATCTGTTTCTGTGAATTATGTGGTGGTTTTATGATAAAGAAGGTATGAAAGAGAAAGATGGATTTTTATGATGAAAAGCTTTACTTTTTGATTTCCATTTTTACCTGGTTGGGTTTTCTTAGAAAGTAGGATCTCCTTTGTAGCCCAGGTTTACCTCAAACTTGCCATTCTTGTGTTCAGTCTCCTTAGAGCTTGGATTACAGTGCCATCATACCCTGTCATTTGTGCCTTTTAACATCAAAGGGTAATTCCTCTATCAAGTTTTTGCTCCTGGTGTTGTCGTTTAGGGCATTAATTTAAGGCAGTCTGGCAAATAAACACAGAACAGTTACCAGGTTGCCCAGGATTCTTCACTGCTCACCTGGCATGAACCTGGTTTCTTGTCCTAGGTAAATGTCTGTTTACCACATGGTTGTAAGTACATGAATTCCAGCCCCTCTGCTGCCCATTTGGATGTGCAACCTAGTGGTGAAAAAGATGTTGAGGAGGAATGTAAATAGTGAATAAGAGTGCAGACATACATATGCCTTACACATGTTCTATGCAATATATGCACACACTTGTAAAAACCGCAGTTACTACAAAAAAACTTGTAAAAAACTCAGTTACTACAAAGTCCAAGCTGCATTTAATGGCCTGGCAAGTTTTGAGGAGTTGAAACACAGCCCAGTTTGCTCAGACAGGCTTGGCAGTGGGAAGATGGTGTCTGTCCATGGGGATGAGTCAGCTTTCCCTTTGATTTCTTGAGACCTGGTAGCTCCAGGACTGTAGGATAGGCACAGGTGGGATGTCTATCTCGGGGAAGGGGCTTAGTCCCTACCAGAGAACCCAGTTGTCTGGTAGGGTGCCCTTTTCTTTTTCTTCTTCTCTTCCCTCTCCCCTGTTGTCTTCTCTCTGTTTTTCACACACTCCTTGTTTTCTGAGATAGCCTATAATATAACCTATACTGGCCTTGACCTAAATACATATGCATCTAAAAGTGACCTTGAACTCCTGTTCCTCCTTCTCCAGTACTCAGGAGAGTGCAGGAGTTACAGGTGTATGCCACTATTCGCAGCAAAGTCTTTTGTCTTAAGACTTTAGTTCTACGTCATGGGATTGGCTGGTGGCTTTTAAGCTTTTTTTGTTCTGGAGATCTAGAACCTGCTCCAGATATCTTTTATGAGTTTTTTGTTCTGAAGACTGTTCTTGATATCTAAAACCTTCTCTAGATGTCTCTTATAAGTTCTATGAGAGCTGAGTTCTTTGTAGCCCCTGAACTGCAGCACACTGTTTGAGAGCTATTTTTTATCAACACATATGCCCTCCACTACAGAAATGGTGGTGATACCCCTGGGAGGATCATGGCTTCTCTTGAGCAGGTTTGCCTACTCTCCTAAATGGCTGATTCTTTTCACTTATAAATGTTCCTTTGCTCCAGTAACAAGGGAATGGGGTTTCCTAAAACTTACTTTTCTCTATCACACCTTAACTGATCTATTGAGCAAGGAGTATATGTTAGAGTCATGGAACCTTGAAACTTACCAGTTGGACTTCCAGTTGCAGAGGTCATTTTACCTGACTGGAATTTCCTTTTCATTTTTCTATATCCTTCAACTGAATTTTTTAGGTCCTGCTTATCTATGAGAAGTGCTGGCAGCTGTATTTATTTATTTATTTATTTATTTATTTATTTATTTATTTATTTATTTATTTATTTATTTATTGTTCCTCTCTGCAGTCAGATGCCGTGGATGCAGCTTGAGGATGCTTCTCTATACATATCTCAGGCTAATTTCATCCTGGCCTACCAGTTCCGCCCAGACGGTGCCAGCTTGAACCGTCAGCCCTTCAGAGTCTTCGCTGGGCATGATGAGGATGTTTGTCACTTTGTGCTGGCAAATTCGCATATCATCAGTGCAGGAGGGTAAGTGCTGGGTCTTCCCCAGTATTCCATAGGGACTGGGTCTGCCTCTGACTTTTCTGGCTCAACCACAAAGTGACAGGGAAGTAAACTTTTGAAAAGGTAGGCTTTAAAAAAAAAACCCAAAGCCAAAAACCACTTAAAGCAGAGATTTACCAAAAGCTGTTAATAGGACTAGCCAGAGAAGAAAACAGGAGCTAGAGCCTTTAATACAAGGCAGAGCAGGTTTGCTCCTCTCCAAGGGGAGGTTTATTTTCTCTCTCAGCTCTCTTTAGCCCCAAGTGTGCTGAAGAGATGAAGCTACCTAACACTCAGCACCTTGTGGGCCAGCCTGCTTTGTGCTTGACTCATCTGGACATCACTGGACACTTGGGCTTCTTCAGTGGCCTGGTACTCCTGCTGCAGAGGGAGTAATTAACCCCTGGGCTGGGCTCCTTGTTCTCTCGTAGAGATGGGAAGATTGGTGTTCATAAACTCCACAGCACCTTCACTGTCAAGTACTCGGCTCATGAGCAGGAGGTGAACTGTGTGGACTGCAAAGGGGGTATCATTGTGAGTGGCTCCAGGGACAGGACGGCCAAGGTGAGGTGTTGTCCCCTTTACGTACTGTTATCTCCTCCTGTCTAAAGGGACTGGGGTGGGAGAGGGTGGATTGAGCCCAGAGTCCCAGGATTGGCTGAGAGTGAAGAGGGTGAAGGCAGGGGAGAAGGGACATAATAAAGAACTTACTTATGTGCCTTTGGCATGCAGCTTGCGATGCCAGGCTGTGTTCCTGCCAGCTGGACTGGGAGAGGAGTGGGCAGTGGCTGGGATGCTTGCCACTCACTTGAAATGTGGTGTGAATGCAAAAACAGAGGGCTTGGTCAGCTTTTCCTCCCTGAACTGAGTCTTCTCAGGTTTGTGGGTTGGGTTCTGCCCCAGGATTTTATTTTAAAATCTCCCTCCTTTTCTTGCTCTCTGTTTAAAGAAGTTAATTTTTCACCGCCTTGTTTATAAGCAATCAGGCTGATAATTAAAACGTGTTTTTACTGATTCTCTGGAGAGTGATGTGGTCAGTAGGCAGTGGAGACCACAGGAAGGCTATTGTTGGTTGCATCATTGCCAGGTTGTCTGGTCCACAGACATCCACGAAGACATAAAATATGAAACTGATAAACAGTTGTCATCCTTGCTTTGTGAGTCCAGTTCATTCAGTCTGTGTCAGGCACTGCTGCTTATGAGACACAGAGAAGATTTTCCTGTCTTGGGTGCAACAGTCCTAGCCAGGATACAGGCTTTGCGGCTGCAGTGGAAACTCTGCTGACCGTTCAGTTGATGATGCAGAAGACCCCAGAGGTCTTGATGATCTGTTTTCCAGAATCTAGAGACTCCATTGTAGAAATTGCTTATTGGTATCAGCAAATGGGCCTCTAAGCCACATGTAGAGAGATCTCAGGAGAGGGAAGTTGCAGCTTTTATCTATAACTCTTCTGACTCTGTGTACTCTTTAGTGATTGCTTTTTCATATTGCTGGTTTATATAAAGACATAATTCCCTCCTACTTATAAACATTTCTTTTCCTTTTGAAATTTTCTGCCTTATATTTTTATTTAGAAAGAATGGATGCCAGCATAGGAAGCCCAAGAAAGATCAGCAGTTTGTCTAGGCTTTTGTTTTTGAGACAGGGTGTCATGTAGCCAAAGATGATCTTTGTGTCTTCATTTTCAAGTGCTAATATTATAGGTATATGCTATCATACCTAGCTTTAGTGTGCTTTTGTTATTGTTGTTTGTTTTTGAGACAGGTTTCTCTGTGTAGCCCTGGCTGCTCTGGAACTCACTCTGTAGACCAGGTTGGCACAGAGATCCACCTGCCTTTGCCTCACAAGTGCTGGGATTAAAGGCATGAGCCACCACCACCTGGCTTTATCGAATATTTTGAATCTTCATGGAAACCACCTTTCCTGTCACCTGTTTCTTCCTCTTCTCCATCCCATATTGACTTCAGATTTTTTGCTTAGTCAATGACTCTGTAGCATTCCTTGCAAAGATTCTGACTTTAACTTGCCAAGTGAATCTGGGGCTAGAGCGATGGCTCATTTGAGTGCTTACTAGTCTTGCATGAAGATCAGGGTCTATGTTGTCAGTGCATTTGAGTACAGTGGCATTTGTCTCTAATCCCAGTGCTGGGGAGGCATAGACAGCTGACCCTCTAGAGCTAGAGCTTTCTTAAAAAATAACATTTGGGGCTGGAGAGATGGCTCAGTGGTTAAGAGCATTGCCTGCTCTTCCAAAGGTCCTGAGTTCAATTCCCAGCAACCACATGGTGGTTCACAACCATCTGTAATGAGATCTGGTGCCCTCTTCTGACCTGTAGGCAGAGTACTGAAAATACTGTATACATAATGAATAAATAAATTTTTTTAAAAAAAATAACATTTGTTCTTTGTTAATTTCATACATGTTTTGTAATGCATTCTGTTACCTTTACTCCCCTATTATTTCCCTTTTACCCTCTCAGCCCTCCATTTTCCTTACAAATATTTTTCTTTTTTTAAGATTTATTTATGTATGCATATGAGTGCTCTGTTTTCCTGCATATCTGCATGATGGAGGAGAGCCCAGATTCCATTACGGATGGCTGTGAGCCACCGTGTAAGTGCTGGGGATTGAAATCAGGACTCTGGAAGAGCAGCCAGTGCTCTTAACCACTGAGCCATCTCTCCAGCCCCCTTACAAATATCTTAACTATATTTGCTAGCTTTTGTTTTTGTCAGTTTCGTACAGAGTTTAACTAGATCTATCTTTATGAGGAGGTGTATAGCAAGATATTATGCCTATCCCTCTCCCAGAATCTGTTAGTTGCCAATAGATGAAGCACTTTTTTCATAGCTGATTGTTAGGAAAGCTTAGTGTCAGTAGCCACAGTTACTGTGAGCTCATGACTGCCATGATCATGTTGTTCTTAGAAGATAGCATTTTGAAGCCCCTTCCTCTATCTTCTGGCTCTTAACATTCTTTCCTCCCCTTCTTCTGCAGTGCTCCCCAAGTCTGAAGAGGGTGGTATAACTTTTAGGATTGAGCTCCCAACAGTCCTATAATCAGCATCTTGTGCAGCCATGAGCAGAGGCTTCTCTGCTTACTGCTGAGAGTAGCCTTTGTCTGTGGGTGTACGCGGTGTTCTGAAGGTGGTTTGGTGCTATATTGAACTAGTTAGGCAGTAAGTAGCCTTAGGTTCTTCTCTAAAACCTCAGATCCATCTTTCTTTCTCTTTCGAGACAGTGTCTGGCTATGTGGCGCAGACTAACCTTGAACTTGCAATTTTTCTGCCTCTTGAAATTATAGGTATGTGCCACCACACGCCTATTAGAATTATTTTCTAACAATGTAGACTGTAACCAGGCATTGTGCTAAGCACTTTATCCATTTTATCTTTCCAGGTAAATATCTTCCCTGCATAATTGTAATGTGTTTTAGATATACAGTATACCTGTGGTATCTACTCTGTAAGCTTTTTTGTTATACTTATACAAGTTAATATATGTATATACTTTATGTTTAAATATATAAATTATATATGTGCATAAATATATATGTATATATACTTTATATGTGTTTTATATAAACTATATATGTATATAGATGTTTGTGTGTGTATATATATGTATATATATATATTCATTATTTGAGATAGCTGTCCTTAAAGTTTCTTTGTAGCTAAGTATGACTTTAAACTTCTAATCTTGCCTCCACCTGTTGAATGCTGGGATTCCATGTATGCTACCACACCCAGTCATGCAGTGCTAGAGATCACACCTAGGACTTGGTGCCTGCTAGGCTTTCTGTCAGTTGAGCTGTGTCTCCAGCCCTCATGTATCTTCAGTGACTTCTAGATGAACTTATCATATTTACTTAAACTTTTCTGTAGTAGATAGATGATTCTGTCTAGTTTTTTCTTAGATACAAGAACCTGGAAATCAGAATCCTTTCTTAAGGGCCTGATTCCTGCTAAATTCTGTACATCATGCTGTTCTAGTACTCTGTATTTATCTTCTACAGCATGGTCCTGAGACAGGCATTTTCCCCCATTTGATGAGACGAAACTGAGACCAAAAAGTTAGGAAACATCTCTAAGAGCAAAGATAATAAGTCACAGGTAAGATTCAAACATGGTCAGACTCCAAAGACTATCTGCTTGTTCTGTAATAACAGGCTACAGGAAATATTTTGTTTACCATTTTGGTTTGTCTCTGTTTTAGGATTTATTTATTTATTTATTTATTTTAAGAATGAATTCTCAACCTTAGAGTTCCTGAGTCAAACAAAGATCATTTTAGGAACTTTCCACCTCCAGTCTGCCTTCCAAAAAGACTGTGTGGATGTATACCGAGTGTTTTCCGGGGTGGGTCTGTTTTGCATTGAGAGCTAAGATCTGACCAGATCTTTATTGTGTCAGCTCCTGTCCCTCAGGTGCCAGGATACTCTTGTTGCCAGAGGATGCTGTGCTATGGGATAGTCTGGCCACTTTCCTCAATGATGCTTGGAACTGGCAAGGCATTTCTTACCACAGATCTGTAGCCTTGTCCCGTGGTTTGTGGGCTCTCAAATTCTACCAGCTGTCTCTGTGGAAGTTACTAATAAACTCAGGTTTAGGCTGTTCCCAGCGATTTTGTAAATCTGGAGTACCCCTTTCACCCTGCAAGAAAACCTGCCTCCGAGGGAGTTCAGATAAGGAAAAGACAAAGGTCTCTTCTAAGCTGGGCAGTCTAAAGGAAGAAACCAAAAGGGCATCTACCTATTAGCAAAGGATTTAACTGTCAAGTACAAAGCAGGTGCCAGAATACCAGCCTTACAGGGAATATTGAGGGTTTGTTTTGTTTTGTTTTGTTTTGTTTTGTGTTCTCCTCATCCAGAGTATTCTTGTTAGTTTATTTTCTTAGTTTTGGGAAAAATTACTCCTACTATCTTCCCATTCCCCTACTCCATCATACTCAGAAATCCTAAGAAACACTTTCTCCTTTATAGGGAAGAGATACCATATGACCCTAAGAAGGCAAGACCACCCCCATTCCATCACCTGTCCCTTACACTGAAGGAATGTTTTCTTAAGTTCTTCCATCTAAGGTCCTGCCTGAGTTTGGTGTGTTCCCCTTATAGCTCTGCAGGGACCTTGAGAGGTCATTGATCCATCTAGCTGCCATGGGATCCCTCTGTGGCTGCCCTGGGGGAGAGCCCTGTACATTTGAGGTTTCCTTTCTGTTTGACTAGAGGCTTATGTCCCTGTGTGTGTCATCTGGGGTAGGGCGAGGTGAGGGGGAGCCGGTTGCTTAATGGGACATTTCTAAATGCTCTGGCTGCTGAGAGGCCCTGGGAGTGTTGATTAGAGTTAAGCCCAGAGTGGCTGCTAATGTACATTCCTTACTGATAGGGACCAGATAGTGTGCTCCAAGCAATATTTTTAACCTGTGGAGATATGGAAGCTTAAAAGAGTTAAGCTTTTCTGCTACTTTTGGTGACACTGGGTGCTAAATTCCCTGCTGACATGAATAGCTCTGGGTCTGGGCATTACGAACAAACAACAGCAGCACACCTCCTTCCCACTTTGAAGTCTTCTTTCCATTCTTCCCTTGATTTGTAGCTTTCCTTTGACCCCCTCTAACAGTATAATGTCTTCCCAGATTGGACCTTGATCTTCCTGTCTCTCCCTGTGTGCCTAAAGTAAAGTTTTGGTGAAAGATAGGAGAAAGGAAGATCCACAAACATAAGGAAGTTTCTGAGAGAGAGGCTACTTCTATTTCCCCTTTCTTATTTAGAGCTCACACAGGGGCTGTGTATCTTCTCATTGTCAGCTAGGAATTAAGGGCTCTCAGGTGGAAGGAAAGGTGGATGGTTAGGTCTGTCTCTGGGGCAGGTGAACCAGAAGCTGGAGAGCTCTCTCTACTGATACCCTGAGCTCTGTCTTCAGGAGAGAAAGGATTCTCCATTCCCGCACCTTCCTGGTCCCACTCATCCCACCTGGTGTACGTTGCTTCTTTCTAGTCTCAGGCAGTGCCAACAAGAGCATTTCCTCTCCTGTTTTCAGGTATGGCCTTTGGCCTCGGGCCAGCTGGGGCAGTGCTTACACACCATCCAGACTGAAGACCGAGTCTGGTCCATTGCCATCAGCCCGTTACTCAGGTAAGGGAGACATGTTTGGGTTTTTGTCTCACACAAGAATGTTTTCATTTTATTAGGTCAGATAAGCTAGAGAAATTTTTCCTAATATATTCTAGGTTTCTATGAACTGGTCTTCTGGAGATTTAAACACTTTCCAGAGACTTGAGGTCTTTTCACATAGTTGTGGAACTGAGATAACCTTTCCTGAGCATCCGAATAGAAATGTTAAGGCAAAGATACCACCCTGGAATGTAGCCGACGGGTCAGTGTTACCTTTCTGGAGCAGATGTCCTTTGGGGTTGCTCCAAAGCAAAGGCTTCTCAGTATACCTGAGAGTAACAGCAGCAACTAGCCTGCTGTCGGGACTCATCTCTGCTTCGTCCCCTGGAAATGTCTTCTGAAGTATCCCTTACAGGCTCTGGGTATCAGGAGAGGAGGGGTTTGGGCCTGCCGCCTGGGCCCTGGTCTATATGTGAGGGACAGAAACAGTGACAACTTTAATGGAAGTGCAGCTCTGCTTTGTTACTTTGTTTGTACGGTAGTTTGGCTGTGTACCACGTGTGTGTCTGTGCCGTGGAGACCAGGAGGGGGTGCTGCCACTGGAACTGCGGTTACAGATCACTGTGAGCCACCATGTGGGTAAAGAATCAAACCCAGGTCCTCTGGAAGAGCAGCTAGTGCTCTTCACTGCTGAGCCATCTCGCCAGGCCTGCCACTCTTTTTTTTTTTTTTTTTTAAACAAAAAACAAAGAAACAAACAAAATAAAAAACAAATGAAACAAGTCTTGCTGTGTGGCTGAGACCAGTTTAAAACTCACTATGTAGCTCTGACTGGCCATGAACTAGTTAGTGATCTTTCTGCCTCAGCCTCCCAATGGCTGGGATTCCAAGTGCAAGACACTAAATGTAGCCGTTTCTTTAGCTTTAATTGGCCAGGTATGTTGGCTCATGCCTGTAATCCCAGCATTTAAGGGGCTAAGCAGGAAAATCAACCATGAACTTGAGACAAGGTTGATCTATAAGGTCAGTTTCAGACCAGCCTTGGCTATAGAGTGAGACCCTATCTTGAAAACAAAATAAACAAATCAAAACATCCAAAAGCAAAATAAAAAAAACTAAAACTGGAGAAATATGAGCCAGTGAACTTTGCATCTGGCTTCTGTTATCTTGGTTATCATTAAAAATATTTTATTGACTAACAGTCATTGTATGTAATATTGAGTTTCATGAAGACAGTTTCTTTCAGATATATCATGTACTTTTATCTAGGCTTTTAAAAAATTATTTTGTGTATAGGTATTTTGGTTGTGTGTATCTCTGTATATTACAGAGATGCAGTGCCCCTGAGGCCAGAAGAAGGTGTTGGATCCCCTGGGAGTGGAATTACAGATAGTTATGAGCCACCATGTGGGTGCTGAGGATCAAGCCTAGGTCCTTTGTTAGAGCAGTCAAGGCTCTTAGCTGATGAACCATTGCTCTAGCACTTAGCCTAGGTTATCTTGAACCAAGGCAGGGCCTCTCTCTTCCTCAGTGGGGTTCAGACACTTTGCTATAGTTGAACTGTAATGGAAGTTAGTAGGGTCTGAATGTGTGTACTTCCTTGATGCTTCTCATCCCACCTGAATGGACCTGGGAAAGCAATAGGGCTGCCTACCTCCACCACCTGATTAAGTCAGTTGCTTGTTTTTATAAGCAAGTTGGTGCCCTTTTGCTCAGCCCCCTTTAGCCTCTTTCTCCTCACCTCATGGAGCCTGTACCCCTCCTCTTGCTCTCTTCCACAACTCCCTTTCAATTTTTTCCTTCCTAAGAATTAGAGCTGATTAGCCACGTCATTAATTCTTCAATTTGACGGCTGATATAGCAGGACCTGAAACACATTGCTGACCCCAGAGAATGGAGACCCCATTCCTTAGCATATTGACGATGGGAGAAGTTAATTAAAATTCCACAGAGCAGAGGTGTCGACTAACCTATAAACCTGTCGCTTTTCAGAACAAATCATTCCAGCATCTTAGGAAGGAGGAAAGGGAAGACCAGCGGGGAGTGGAGAAGCCAAGTGTGGGAGCTCTGGGGGGAAGAATGGAGCTGGCCAGTTTTGTCTCCTCTGCAGTTTCTTCCTAACGCACCCTCTGAAAGCTTATTAGCTTATTAGCCAGGCTCGTGTGTCTGTGGGCTGGATGTGTGTGGGGACTAAAGGGAGGCAAGTGGGAGGTGACAAGTGTGCTGGTGACTCTGTCTTGGTGATCACTTTCGGCTTTGGCTTCAGGAGTCTGGAGTAGGCTTGTTGGTAGAAGGGACTCTGGCTAGAGATGGGCCATGTACTTGCTACATGTTCATTGAGGCTGAAGAGTATATATGGGCTGTTCCCTACACCTCACCCTTATAGTCTTCTAGGTTACTTCTCAACAAAGAAAGACCACAGAACACCTATTGCAGATGGTGTCAATAAGAGAAGTTGAGAATGCAATTTACCTTCCTCATTAAGAGGCATTTCAGATCTGAGTAACTGAGTTTGAATTTTCTGGACATAATATGGAGACTGACCACAGACAAGGACATGACTTTGTAATGTTATTCTGACTGTGCCCTGAGTACTAACTACACTTCTAGCCATTAGCCGCTGCTAGCCAGCTGCTCTCTGTGAAAACCCTCTGCTAAGTCCCTTTTGGGTCCCTTTATGCTTTCTTAACATTATTTCTTCAGTCTTCTTGGTGTGTTTTCTTAGTCCTGAATGAGTATTTTGTCCATTATTGACTGGCTGTTTAGTGTTGACTGTGAAGTTTCCTTAATTTCACAGATGATGTATTGAACTCTGTTTGAGTTTGCTTTGTTTTTGTTTTAGTTTTCTTTCTTTCTTTTTCTTCTTCTTCTTTTTTTTTTTTTTTTTTTTTTTTTTAGATGGGGTTTCTCTGTGTAACAGACCTGGCTATCCTGGAACTTACTTTGTAGACCTGGCTGGCCTTGAACTCACAGAGATATAAACGCATGATCTCCACCACCACCTGGCCATGTTTGCTTTGTTTTTTTGAGACAGGGTCTTACTATGGAGCCCTGACTGGCCTGGAGCTCACAGAGCTTGGCCTATATATGCCTCCCTAGGTCTGGGATTAAAGAAGTGAGCCACCATGTTTAAAGCACTACGCCTGTACTAAGTGTTACAGTACAATCCGCGAGTCTCGGGCAAGGGCCCTGGAGATTTAAACATATATACACACACAGACAGAGACCTGGGGACACGGGTAATCCTTGAGACAAGAATACCAAGAATTCCCCCTTTACTGTGTTCCAGGGCAGTTTATAAAGGGATCCTTAACTGACAGCCGCACCCCAGCCAAACCCACTACTCCCCTGCCATCAAGAATTCCCGAGGGTCTCATGCTCAGAGCAACTGCAAACACAGGAAAACAAGTTGTTTTGCTCAGAGCAGCTGTAAGCATTGAAAAAACAAGTTATTTACAGAAAATTCAGGGTCTGGGGTCCACAGCCCCCAACAACCATGCCTGGCAGACTCTTGTTTATATTTCATTTATTTATTTGTGTGAGTGTGTCAGTGCATGTGTGTGTGTGTGTGTATGTGTGTGGTGTGTGGTATGTGTGTGTGTGTGTGTGTGTGTGTGTGTGTATGTATGTGTGCCGTGGCGCACATATGCAAGTCAGAGAACAATTTTCAGCAGTTATTTTTGACCTTCTACTATCTAGGTCCCAGGAATAAACTCAGGTTGGACTCTCTTAAAAGTTTGTGTTGGGGATTCTGACTTTAAACTAGGCATCTGGGACATGGGCTGGGGTAATTATTGTCCCCCCTTTTTGTGTATTCAAAGAATATACTGGGCTAGAATCTTTATTCTGTATTATTAAGTCTATCTCTGTCCACTTTGTCCATGGCTTTGAGCCTTTAAAAAAAATAGTCCATCCAGCTGGGCATGCTGGAACATGTCTTTAGGAAGCACTCTTGAGGCAGAGGCAGAGGCAAGTGGATTTCTGTGAGTTTTAGACCAGCCAATGCTGCATCATAGTACCCTGTCTCAAACAAAACAAAAAATCCATCTATTCTTTTAACCTAGGAGGTAACAACTTTCATCTTCAAGGTCTGTTCTTTAGAGCAGTCTAGGAGATACGGTCTCCTTGCCTGCTGCTAGTGAGTGGCTCTAGGCAAATCATTTCCCTTTTCTGTGCTTTCATTACAGACATGACTAGATTGCCGTGACAATGACCTGAAAGAATATCTATATATAAACTGGGCAGTGCTGGTTCACACCTTTAATCCTGAGTCAGGGGGATCTCTGTGAGTTCAAAGCTAGCCTGGTTCTACAAAGCAGGATTTAATCTGGAGGCAGAGGCAGGAGACTCTCTGTGAGTTCAAAGCTAGCCTGGTCTACAAAGCAAATTCCAGAACAGCCAGAGCTGTTACACAGAGAAACCTTGTCTCAAAAAAAAAAAGTATAAAGACAGAAATGCTCTACTTTTTATAATCACGTGTCAGCTCTCTCACCGCCTTATCTAAGGAAGACTGAAAAGCTCTAAGTCTTGTAGTAGCACGTCAGCTCCCTCATCCAATGAAGCATCCGCTTTGTGCTCAGTTGCTTTCAAGCCTATTTCCTAGGCTTCCTTGGGCTTCTGCTGCCTGTCTGCCCAGCAGTCACACTGCTCTTTTGTAGTCTTCTTGAGGTAGAGTCTCCCCAGGAATCTTTCTTCCTTTTTCTCTTTCTTTTGAAGTGATTCTCAATGGCTGCCTTCTGTCACCTCCCTGCTACTAGTCCTGTTGAATGTGTGTGTCAATCACTGAGTGACATGGCACTGGACCCCTTATGAACAGCATGAGGGGCTGTGAGTAGCCACTGCCCTCTAAGCATAAGTCTTCCATTTTCCTTTGCTGCTTCCTTGAGAAGCTGGAAGGAATCTGGGCAGCAAGAAGATCTTGCTCTGCTCTTTCTCGATTATTGTCCTTTTCCTGTTAAAAATAATTAGTCCTGTGCACTTTATTGTTGATGCTCTTGGTTTTTCCCTCTTCTTTTCACATG